CATTCCTATCTATACTCTGTGTCCTGGAGAAGTGTTTAGGTACTCTTTAGGTAACTGCATTGTGGCAGGCACAGGGGCTGGATATGCAGAGGCTCCAGAGATCAGATAGAGACAGCCTTTTGCCTAGATGGCTCTCAGTGCCTTGAGCCAGCCAGTCCAAAACATTCGACACAGGTCCTGAAGCGGCATTTGGAATCATAGAGTAGTTTGGGTTGGAAGGGACCTTTAAAGGTCATCAAATCCACCCCCCCTATAATGACCAGGAACATCTTCAGCTAGATCAGGTTGCTCAGAGCCCTGTCCAGTCTGACCTTGAATGTTTCCAGGGATGGGGCACTTACCAGCACTCTGGACAACCTGCTTAGACAGACTGAGTTTGCCACTTAGGGCCTGTTGCCTAACATTTTTAAGTCAATGTTCTTGCATGCGTTAGATGTAGGCTTAACTCCTTAACATACATGTTTGTTTTCTTCTTTTAAGAAAGTTGATGACAACAAAATATTCTCAAGCATGATTAAAAAAACCAAACAAACACGTGATTCATGGGGTACCTGAGCTTGTACCAAGAAGCAAAGCCACACACATGCTCCAAAGAAGACTGTCTCATTAGATCTTCTCTGCAGCGAGGTGTTTGCTCTGCTGCTGAGCTGATCCCTGGTAGCCTCTGTTGGTGCGTTGATGGAGAGAATATTACAGTGTGCCCCATGGGCCTGTGGGAGATATCAGACCAATATATCAGCAAAGGAGGCATCAGAACAAACGAGGGAGCACATGAGCTGCATTTCAGGCTGAAATCTCTACATCCTGAATGACTGCAACTTGTTTACACCCCTAATAGGGAGTGATGCAGATGGGAAGTGGGATTTAAAGCCATCACAGAACCTTAAAAATAGCACAGTGAAAGACATCGCTCCCTTTCTCAATTAAGAGGACAGAAGATGAAAACGCATGAGCGTGGAGGCTTTCTGCTCCAGCCCTGAGGGGATGACCCAGAGTCATGAGAATATAGGCCAGATATTGAAGCAAAGAATGAGAAGCAGCAGGAGACAGCAGAATATGATTTGTGTGGATAGATTGTAGCAGCCTCTGCAGAAAGAATCACAAAACATTTTATTGAGAGAATATTTTATATTCCTGTGGGCAACTGCTCATCATCCACAAGTACAAGTGGAGAACTGCTGGTGAGACCGAACAAGCTACTTCAATGTAAACACCACCTTTGTTTCCTAGCAAACAATGCAGTAGCATTTTGTTAACACGGGCATTGTTTAGGGTGATAACAGATAATAGGAGTTATGTGATTAAACAGAGCAAAGAAAAATATATATTGTGCATCACAGGGAAAATCTGGTGTGAATCGGTCTCCTTAGGGAAGTGGCAGAAATGTTGCTTTTTGAGTTGCTTGGAGTTAGAAGGGAGAAGCATTGAAGATTGTGTGGTAGAGAACAATGGTGTATGAACCAAGGAACAAGCAAGCCCATTTCTCTTTGGAACTGGGTGTATCACTGCATACATTTTTAAGACATAAAAAAGCCCATAAGGATTTTTCAGGTTGTTAATAGTGATGGCAAGTCAGAAGCGACATGATCGGAGAATAAAGAATTTATCACTGTAGGGTAGTTTGGGGGTAGGACATGAGGAAAGAATGGGGCTTGGGGGAAGGAAGCCACATTCCAGAAGGAGTTACTGCACATGCTGAAGGGCAGCCTCTGCTTGAGGAGAAGGATAGACAGGAACTGGGGGACAGTCAGGTTAGAGGAGGAAAGAAGTCATCTCTGAGAGGCGTATGTGGATGAGAGAGTGAAAATCAAGACAAAGAGAAATGAGTGAGGATGGAAAAAGGAAACACGTGTTTGTGAGCAAAAATAGTTGCAGTTATAGGAAGCGTGTTGTGGAAACAGCCTGCTTGTCCCAGGTGGTTAACTGTAACTAACCGTAGTATTTGCAAGAAACATTTCTAAATTGCAGTCACGATGTCTCTGTGAAGTAGGTAAGCACTGACAGAGGAGGGAGGCAAAGACAGAAAGACTGAAAAGCAATGGAGGAGTTTCTGTCGGTGTGGGACTAGAAGGTGAGCATCCTTTGCACTCAGCCCTGAACTAAACTTTGTGTCTCTTTGCTTGTGAACATATACTGTGAATGTCCCAGCCTCTGCTGGCTCATCATCAAATACACTTGACCACCAATAGAAATCACTGTCTAGATCAAACTTCAGAGTGCTGCCAGACATATCCCAAAGTATACCCTGGGCTGGACCCTTTTGAAACAGAAGGAATAGTGTGCTCTAGCAATCCCAAGTGCCAGGAAGCAGAAAAGGAGAAGGAGTAATTCCAGACTTGAGGCTATAATGAGAGGAGAAAGAGAGGACAAATAAAAACTGTTTACTGGACATTGGGACTTGCTCAAATTGTTGTAGTGAGATCTATGCCAACCAAGCTATGCTTGGGGCAGCCATTCTTACCGCAGGAAGGAAACAGATGTGTTTATCACCTCTGCATTGGTATAACTGGGCTACATCAAAAGATGCATTGCCAGCAGGTCCAGAGAGGTGATTCTTCCGCTTTGCTCTGGTGAGACTTCACTTGGAGTATTGTGTGCAGGTCTGGAGCCCTCAATATAGGAAAGACATGGGCCTGATGCAGCAAGTCCAGAGGAGGGCCACGAGGATGATCAGGGGGTTGGAGCACCTCTGCTACGAGGACAGGCTGAGGGAGCTCGGGTTGTTCAGTCTGAAGAAGAGGAGGCTCTGGGGAGACCTAACAGCAACCTTCCAGTACCTGAAGGGCGCCTACAGGAAGTCTGGGGAGAGCCTGTTTACAAAGGCCTGTAGTGACAGGATGAGGGGCAATGGCTTTAAGCTGGAGGGGAGAAGATTTAGATTGGAGATTAGGAAAAAGTTCTTTACTGTGAGGGTGGTGGAGGACTGGAACAGGTTGCTCAGGGAGCTGGTTGAGGCCCCATCTCTGGAGATATTCAAGGTGAGGTTCAATGAGGCCCTGGGCAACCTGGTCTAGTTGGGGGTATCTCTGCTGACTGTGGGGAGGGGTCGGACTAGATGACCTTTGGAGGTCCCTTCCAGCCTGGACAATTCTATGATTCTATGATTCTAACTGATAAGGTCACAGAGAGGGAGGGCAGGAGCAAGTTGCTTCAAAATAACTATATTGGTGAAAAATAAATTCTCTATCAAGATCATTTCCCTGGAAAAATGTTTAATTTTTTAAGAAAGACAACACATTTTTGAACCCTGACAATACTGATTTGTTTTAAAGCTCACTTTCACAAAAAGTAGCTAAAACTTTGCTCAGAGGAAGTGCCCTACACCTTTATTGGCCTGCCCAGCCAGCAGTAGGCTTTCTGGGGACTCAATCTGGAGTGTTGTCAGCACACCCTCCCAAAGGTGTGGGTAGGCATACTTCACACGTTATTGTCTTCCTCCCTTAATTTTGTAGCAGCAGCAGGGGCAGGAACAGCTCTTTTTACTATAAGCCTTTCTGGCTGCTTGTATTAAGTTTACTTGAGGGGCAATAAATGTCCTGTCCCAAGAGAGGGCTGCTCTGCTGCTTCAGCACTTCCCATAAGTTGTCATGGGGGGTGGGAAAGATGGTCCTACCTGGAACCTCCATAGATCCCAATATGGGTGATAACTTTGTAGGCAAAGCTCAACAGTCAGATATATCTTTTGCAGCTTTATCATTGCTTGATCCTCCATATATTACTCTTGAGCTTCAGAATTAAAAATATACTTCAGAAACTTTCCCTAGTTAGAGTTGCTTACGTTTGGCTCCGGAGACCAGAGCTGAAAATTTAGATCAAATCCTGACTTGACTCAGGCTTAGCTCTGATTTTAATTTAACAAAAGGCAAAGATTTGCAGGGCTTTGCAAAGATTCAAAGAGAGTACAACTCTGCCAGTGTCCGTGTGAACAGATCTTTAGCAGTAGTAGTGAAAGAAATTAAATACATTTTTGAGGAAGAGTAAACCAACACATGAAGATTTATTCACACAGTATAAAGTAGGAGTGAATCTGTAACCCAGTCCCATTATTCACAAATTATTTGGTACCACTGCATGACCATTGCAAGGACTCAAACCCAGGAATGTCTGTCAGGCACCACTATCAGTCCTTTGTGTCTTCTCTGTGAAATCAGAAATGCAAACTGCATCTAATATATTAAACATCATTTAGAAGCTGCTTTTCCAGCATGTTATCTGCACTAAAATTAGTACTATAGGCATCAATACATAGCCAGTTCTAAATGATTGTAGAACATGTTATCCCAAAGGGTCCTAAAACATTCCCAGAATACAGATGGATAGCAGGCCAGAATAGAGTATGCTACACAAAAGCTGGGAGAAGGAAGGAGAGAAAATTTTGACTAAGGCCTTAGGGCACTGGCTCAGATCTCCTCCTCTCACAGGGCTGTGTGAAGTTTCTCATGTCCATGCAGAGAAAGCTTGACCACCAGGCTGGAATTCTTAGGCTTTCAGGGAGTCACAGGGCTAAGGGGATCCTTCTGCAATTTGGACATGTTCTTCCAATGAATTCCAGGACCAGGACACACAAGAGACTCCTACCCTATTGATAAATGTTTTCCACATAGAGCAAGACCATCAGTTACCTAAGACCAGCTTAAACTGGCAGGGAGAAATCAGGTTGCGAGTTCCAAATATGCGTGTATTCTAAGTCAGTTTAAGGAACAAGTCATTGACCATGGGCCATCTGCAAGAAGCGTGCTGTAGATGACTGTAGCCTCTATCATGATAGATTTAACGAGAAACAGGCTTTGCAGAAGTCAACATCAAATGTAATGTCAGAAAATCTTTCATTTTCCTGTCTGTGACAGCAAGCCATGAGGTAGAAAAAAAACTCCACAGGTGTGGGCAACAGCTAATGCTGACATAGCTATAACGTATTCAGGGCTTAAATTACAAAGCCCTTTTGATTATCATATAATTTCCCCTATTGCCCACAAACCACTTCCTTTTCTACCCATCACTTCTTCCCCGTCTTCACAGTAGACAGAAGGCTGGTGCCTCTGTGTCAGACAAGCATGAAGTCGGTTGCTGTAACTTTCTGTGTCCTCTGCTTTCAGTTTGAAGCCCTGTATGGTAAGTAGCATTTTGGATTATTCTTGCACTAGATGTCTCTATGGAATATAACTCACCCAATGATGGGAGAGAGTAAATGAGGCATGATAGCAAGGGTTTGGAGGAATAGAGGTAATTAAGAGAAACAGCTGCAAAAAGACCTCTCTCAACTTTATTATCTCTAGAGTCAGTGGGGAGAGAATTCCTGCCAGCACAGGGCATTTGCTCTGAAACGAGGAAGTACAAGTTTTCATTGTTTATATTCTTTAGCTCATCTGCTCAGTGTTATCCTCTAGCTGTTTAGGCTGTAGCCCTCCAGCCAGCTTTCCTTCCTGGGTGTAAGGTCTTATAGCAGCATGATGGTGAGAGGCTCAATGAAGAGAAGGTAAGTTATTGGTATTAAACCTGCTCTTGTTTGAGCAGGAAATTTTTATACTATGAAAAATGCATATGGCCTGGAAGAGTGGATGAGTTCATTTTCCTACAGGCTTGAAATGCACACTGACTTAAAAGGAAGCGTAGCATTCCTAATGCTGTGTCTGAGAAGGTGCACAGCGACAGCACCGATCTCAGTCCAGCCATAAACATGGAGGCAACATTTTACAAGATTCAGTGTTTAACCCAGCTACGCAAAGTGAAATACCAGAGCTCATATTTATCTGTAGCCTCTTTGAAACACACATATAACCAGGCCAAGATGGAAATACAAATAATAACTGATTAGGAAGAGTCTTATTTTTAATACATATACTGTCCAAGGATTTGGTATGACACATCATATAAGTACGACCTGAGATTTAGTGCACCCAGGTACTAAGCACCATCTAAACATGTTCCTTTGAAGGTCATGCCAAGGTCTATTGAATATGTTTGCTTCTGAAATTCTAGTGGTTCAGGATAGGTTTCAAGTACCCCTGTAGAATTTAAGTACTCCTGAGGTTTCATATAAAATTTAAGCTTTCATTTAAATAAAAACCAGTTTCCAGCTCTTAAGGCAATGCAGATACCCTTCTGAAGGTTAACTAATAGAGCGATAGTATACTGAGTTTTCAGATAGATTGAAAAGATGGGTGAAATCACAGGGAAGGAGGATTGAGATCAGTGTCTTTAAAGGGACACGAGCAGCTCTTTTTCTCCTTGAAAAGGTATTCTTAACTCTACTAAAAAAAAATCCTATGAATTATGTTAAAAGTTTTTCAGCTAGGTAATTCAGCAGGCATACTTGACCAGCATGCTTTTACATGTAGCTGGATCTATCTAAAAGACCATTCATTGTGTGAAGAAATAGGCTGCAATTTTAAGCACACAAATAATTGTTCTGATACCAGCATTTCTCTCTTCTTTCTTGCTTCCTTCGAATATGGAGGACAGGATTTGGGTAGGGGGCTACGGAGAGGAGATGGCAGGAGAAAGAGGTTGCCTGTCACAAGAAATGGTGTCTCTCAGGTTTTTTACCTTACAGTGCTTTCAGCATAAAAAGTGCTAATTATTATTCTTGCTAAAAAGAAAAGATCAGCTTGATGTAAGACTCATCATGATGTAATTACTCTCATTTAGAGAACAAGCTAGCACTCCAGAGAGCGCTGCCAAGCACTGCAGCAAAGTTTTGGGATTTGTAAAAGCAGAGTAACTTCTGAGATTTTGGGGTTTTTTGACTTAGTGATTAGCAAGCTCTATTTGTGATCTACCAATAGTTGTTTTTTTTCAATGTAAATAGGTAACAGAAGGTGATATATTTGTGCATATGTGTATTATGATTTGATAACCCAGTTGTGATAAAGAAATTGTAAGAGCATGGAGCCTCTCTGGTGTCTGTAGAGGAGCACAGGCAATGGAATTTTGTTGTACAGCACTTGAGGCCCTTGCTATGAAACATTGCACATGAGCTTTTGCACAACAACATTTGCAAAGCATTTATCAGTGTTCACCCACAGATCTCCTGTTGTCAACACAGGAGGAAATCATGGTCATTTCTTAGAAGGGTGTCTGAAATACTATCAACAATGGCTACAGTGTTAGTGGTATATTTTACAAGAGTTTCCATATTTCACAAAATATGTTATAGAATAGAAACAATTAAGATTATAGATGGCTCCCTAGAGTAATTCTAGCCACTACTTGCCTTGCTCAGAAGCACCACTTTCCTCTCTTAATCCTTGATTCTTGAAAGATAGGAAAATGTTCGTTTTAGGCGTATGACTAATGACACTGAATTGACAGTGTCATCTTTCATAGTGCCTTGAAAGGTCAAAGCAACTTAAAAAACTGTGTGGTTTCATTATGAATTTAGTATTAATAAAACAAATGTATTTATTTTAAAGGCAGGGTCTGCACTCTTACTGTTCATCTTTAGAGACAAATACACCCAAGTGAAATTACACTTTTTCTTTTTATCAGCTAATTAGTTTTCTGAGAGCTGGGGCAGATAAAACAAACAGCAAGAAAACCAAGCAAGAGTATTATGTTCTCCTACCCTAAATCTCAAGGTTTAAAATTAATTGAAAGTGGTTTTTAAACTTCTGTTAAGACCAAGATTCATAATGGATTGGTGATGTTTACAAATAGCATTGGGTCTGCCAAAGAGCAAGCAGAAAGCTCTAAATTGCATTCCTATTAAAATGAAAATCACTCGCCTCCCATTGGCTTCAGTGTCCAAGCACACTACCACAGAAATTCCTAAACTTCTGCTGAAGTGCTTTTCCACTGCAGTAAAGACTAAATGGAGACAGAAATGTACATGACTGTAAGTACACACATACATAGAATGTAAACACACACACTCTTTCATAGTTTAACATAGCAAGATGTTACTTTCATACACACGTTCGTCTCTTGGATTCACATCTGAGCTACAATATCTGTCTTGACAGTCTGCTTCATGTGAGGTGAGCCAGGAACGACTCTAAGCAGCTCCACAGTGTGACACTGCTATGAAATGAATGAAAGATTTGTTTCCTCTAGTCTCAAAATCTTCATATGCAATTGAATTTTCTCTTTTATGAAAAATACCAAAACGGAACCTTACGGCCAAATCTAAGCATTTTAACTGCTGACATCCCAAATGTGTCTGGCCATTAACCAGAGTGTTACAGGTCCATAGGATTACCTAGGAATAAACTGGTATAAACGGGCATTGGAGAACAGCAGTCAGGCACAGGGAAGGGGGAATAAACCACCTTTTAGTAAGCACATTATGGACTGATGTACAATGGCTACTGAGTTGGAAATTCATATCAGATCTCACCCGTTGCAGTCATCCATGTAGACAATTTTGTGTTTTAATCTCAGGCGCCATTAATCTCATTTTTAAATGCCCTCCCTTTGTACTATGCTAAGCACACTCCTCTATATTGTCACTTGTTTCAGAGGAATACTAATTACATTGCATTTACCCAAATGCTTATTCAGAGAAATACATTACTGAGTCTGTCTTTAAAATAGGCAGTTAAGGCTTCTGGGCCTGAGAGGACAAAACAATCTTTCAGTTTGCCACAAGGTCACATGAACGACATAGTTAATGACCTCTCTCTGCCCTTTTCCATTAAAAACAAGGCTTAAAACCATGATTTCTGACAAACTTTTTAAACCACCCTTATGAAAGGGTCATTTCACTAGGTAACTGCAAAATTGAACTATTCTCAGAGACAAACAGAGGACTGAAATTCAAAACTGTTTCTTTAGTGCTCAGAGCAGGGTAGCCTCGTGCTCCTCTGGGGCATTGGGGGAATATGGCACTGCATGGCTCCGTAGCTGCCCCGACAGAGTCAGCATCTGCCTCTCCTCTCAGATGACCAGTGACAACTGTAGAGGTCTCAGCTACAGGTGGATGCTTCTTAAAAGCATCAGGTCAGTTTACATATTCACCATGCTCCTGAGCTTCTGCTATATCAATACACTTGTTTTTTTCTTCCCTTCCCTAAATAATTTGTCTACTGTTGGGCCTAATTTTAAAGTTGTATGTTACCAAACTACGGGCCGTCAAACTACTGAGCATTTCCAAACACCTTTATATTTCAAATCCTGTTCTCATAGCAGCTGTTTTCTTTCACCAGTCTGCTTTTCAGACTATACACCATTATGAGGGCTTGCACTTTCTACATCTGTGCCTTCAGTATATCTAGAGCTCTATTTCACTCTGTGTTGGCGAGCTGTGTGTTTTGTCCGTCTTATCTTCACACCAGTGGTACAAGATGCCAAATACCTTGTCTGTTATCACACACTTAAGTAATGGTCCTGAGAGAAATACAGATATTAGAACTGTCCCTGAATTAGATAAGGGTGCTGACTCTGCACAGTAAAGCAGGAAGAATGTGATTAACTAGGAAGAGGGTAAATCAATCAAAAAGGGATAACTGTTTCTATTGCTTTCTGACTAAGCATCACAAAGTGTCTTCCAGAAGTCCATTAGCTTATGTGTCACACTAAAAATATTTTAAATGAGTATCATTCACTGCAATGCCCTTGTCAATGGTAGTAATTGGGGAGCAAGAATTCAAAGAAGGAAAAAGCATGGACACTAAAATATTGCCTTCGTCCAGAAAGAGTTGAGAGCATACAAAAGTACCCAAATGAGAATAATCTTCTGTTCCTGTGCATATGTAGGCTGGATGTTAAAGATAACAGACGCCTTGAGAAAAAGATTATTTATACTGTATAATCAGTGTAATACCTGGCACAGCTGGGGATTGGCTCTGTGTGGATCTGCAGTACCATGTAGCAGTAACAAGAAGAATAGGATGGTGCATTGGTTTTAAGTATGTACCCCATTATTTCCTTAGCATCATAAAATCCTGATGTAGAGTACATTTCAGTCTAAGCAGTCTCTGAAGAACTTACTCAGGCTACCAGAAAACAGGAAAAGCAGATACACTTTTTTTCTACTTGTCTGCATACCTGTCTGTATCTTTAATTTTAGGGCACTGCAAAAAGAAAAATTCCAAACAAAACACTATCAAATGAAAAACTGTGCTGTGCTGCCAGTACTGACATACAAACCATTTCAAAGTGGAACATGCCACCAACCCAGCCAGGAAATTCCGCTCTCAGCATTGCCATAGTGGGTGGTGATGGAGGCAGCGGCTTAAAAACCAAATCCAGAACGATTATTAAGAATGTCCCTGTCTCTCGTAACGAGGCTGCCTATGCACAATGAACTGAATGGAGCTTGGTAATCATGAAGAGGAAAAGCTTCTATTGAAACAGGAAAAAAACTGTATGCATTGCTTGAACCCTTTCTTAGTGCATGTGTTGGAACGTCTTCCAGATATTCATTCTTGATGTGCCATAAGAAGATGTTTTGGTGCAGCATTGAGCAGCAGGGGAAACAGAACATAGGCCGAAATGAACATTTTGGTCTGGAAATGAAGTACAATACTGGCTCACTGCAGACTCTGGATTCATGAGAAACCAAAAGTATGCTCTTTTTGGGGGAGGGACAGATTTCCTCAGTATTTTGGGGGAAATTTTACTTTAAACTGAGCTTCTATTTATGAAGTTCATCTATTACTTTGCAGAGGTGTTTTGAGAATTTGTAAATGCTGTATGTATGATCAATATTCTTGCTCAATGTATTTTCTTTCTACTTTGATTTTTATATTTTGTGCATTTATCACATCCTATGATTTTATAGTGTAGTACAAACAGGATCAGATAGGCTAATGGCACAAAACACCGGATGGCTCAGCCCCTCTTCCTGCATTTCTCTTCTTGAATTTTAAACTGGAAACAATTTTGTATTTTTCAGGAGTTGATAGCTGCTCATCAAGACCATGCAAAAATATAGGTAAGAAACATTTACCTAATTTGGTTTATGGTTTTAAATACCTTTCTAGATCAGAAAGTACTGCCCTGGAAGAAAAAAAATTGTCATATATTGTCACTTTAAAATATTTTTATCTGAGGGAATTTCTCATGCCATTGGTCACTGACTTTACAAAGGCAAACTGCAAAGTAGCAGGAGGTCCTTGGTCAGTTTCCTTTCTTTTTCTTCTCCAAGAAATTTGCAAAATGAGAGTTGCTCAACATCTGAGAATTTTCCAGACAGTTTTTGGGAAGGTCAAATGTGATTTTTGGATTAGATGTGGGTGCATGCACACAGTGACATTTGTCCTCTACTCCTACCATTATGTTAGTGATAAAGGTGCAATAGCCATCTAATTAGGTTTAAACTTTATGTCATGCCTCAAACCACCATCTACTCTAGAAAGGAAGGACAGGTCTTGCGGTTAAGGCACTTATGTAAGAATTTTGGGTCACATCCCATTTTAAGTTTTCAGCTATATCATTAGGGTGCAGATTATGAACCATAAAGCAGAGATAATTATCATCATCTTTGTCCCACCCTGTTTTATCTATGAATAGGACAATCAGTCTGAGGCAAGGATTATATGTCCATATAGTGTTTGGTCCAAGTGGGCCTTTAAACATTATCAAGTAACTCACTGATCCAATGTTAACAGTGACCTCTCTAGCCTTATAGGATAACAGGCCAGATATTTTCTCATCTCATGTCATTTATTTTCTTGGTAATGTCTGACATGACCAGAATGATGCACTGGTATCGCATTGTACAGGCTGCTTTCCACAGCCAGACTATTCTGAGTAGGGATTCTCCTCATTGCTATGTGAGTGACTGTACTTATTGTTTTCATCTCTTCAGATCAGCCTCATGTCTCTGACTCCCAGGTGATGGTGGAATTTGAAAATGGAAACTTCAAGTTCATATTCCCCAACCCCAAAAATGTGAGTGAGTTCAGCATGACCCTCTTCAGAGGGCATGAAAAGAAGGAGATCTGTGCAGTCCATTTGAATGGGGAGAAGAGTTTCCCGAAGAGTAATGTCACCTACTGTGAGACAAAGCATTCAAATAGCAGCACCACTTTCATTCTTAAAAATCTGGAAAGAAAACATATTGACATTTATACCTACTGCCTGGAGATGTTCGTACCCCCTCCTTATATAGATTGCCGTCTGAAAGAAACCTATTTGTACATCCAAGGTAAGTTTACTTCTCTTCTCCCCTCACTTCAGTTTACTGATAAATGGACATTGGGCATAGCTACGCTGCAGTGAAAACTGTGACTTGAGTTTGCACAGATATTTCTGAGTCAGCTTGAAACTACTAAGCAGGGGGCTGGTAACAGCAGAGCTGTGTTGGCAGACTGCTCAGCATGGCCTCTCCGTAATTATTCATCTTCATGGACAGGTTTTGCAGGCCATGCTGAGCTCTGCATATTGTTGGTGGCACCCAGGCTAGCTAGACTGCATCTTCTGAAGTACTGCAGTCCCACCTTTGCCTGCAGCAGAAATTTCCCATTGTCCATTTTCCAAGCTGCTAAATGTTAATGTTAAGGTTACCTCTAGATGGGAGAAAAAAAAAATCTATTCTGAGAGCTGTCTTCATGTGCCTAGGGTAAAAAAAGCATTGGCTGTCTAATATCTGTGCTAGTAGTGATATACAGAACTCTCTGATGCCACACTGTTGTGAAGAAGATGGTGTTCACCTCTGAAGCAAGCCTTGAGGTTTAGAGCCTTCTTAGAGCAGAAGAGATCCACAACTGCTGAGAATTTCTTGCCTTTACTGAGAAGGATTTGGACTAACTTCAGAAGGCTCGCTGCACAGGCTTTAATTTTGAACTGCCTTTCACTCAGTGCTCTTTGGTATATTAAGCTGAAATTGTTAATAGTATTTTTGCGCACATAGTATTTTTGCACACACCTCTTCTTGGTTCTCCATATTGTTCAGTTGAAACATGGTACTGCCTTTTGTCCTTCCCTTGTTATCTTTACCTACCTCTCAGGACCAGGATTAAACAAAGATAGAAGCTGTAATGCTAAGGCTACAATTATGTGGTTGGGTCAATTATCTCTCAGCCCTCTCTGAACTTAAAAGAGTTTCTCCTGTGACATCCTTTTTTGTCTGCAGTGTTTCCCAGAGCTGTCCATTTCCATTGGTATGGATAGCCAGATGCTCACAGCTATTGCCTGGGCAAGGGTAATCTTGTGTCCCCCAGCTTGGCTTCCTACCCAAACATGACTGCCGAAGTCCAGCCTTCTTCAGGCTGCCCTTTTAATCGCCTGTGGTACTCACTGAATGTAAGCTTAAGCCTTGCTCAGATCTGAAGTACCATCATGCTCTCAAGCCTGGCTTGGTTTCTTTTCAATCTACACTTTCAGCCCCGTGTACCAACAGTTTCACCGCTCCTTCTGTAAAACTGCAATATTCTGCTTCCTCTTGAATACACTTTTCCAAGGTGGCTTTTCACCTCAGGAAAATCCTTCTCCAGAGCTCACTTTTGCCATTTTATTAATATGAAGAGAAGAGGGGAAAGAATTTGAAAAGTTATCTCTAGGGGGAAAAAATGGAACTTATAAGTAATGACTTTTTTTGCCTCCCCATCTCCAGATAAGGAAGACTGCATTTCACTGGGACTTATGTCATGGATAATTATTGGCCTGATCATGTTTGCCATGATTTTCTGTGTCTTCTGTGTTGTAGCCTGTTGCTTAAGGAACAAGGTAAGCAAGTCTATGAGATTCTGCAGAACCCTCCTTCCAAGGATCATTGATAAGGAACTTGATTTAATGAGATTTAGAGGGTGGGACAGGCACATACTCACTCAGCACGTGATGTGTTTTGACAAAGAGACAAAGTTGTTAATTTACCACTGGAATTCAGTAATTGATGACAGCAGCTCAGAATTAATTTTTCTAAGACAGAATTGCTTATTGATTTAAAGGCTGGGAATCAAAGGAAAGAGGAGAAATGCTGCACAGGTCAGCAAAATTACTTCAGTAAGCAATTCACCTGATTGTTTTCTTCAAGAAGGGGAAACAAATCATCTGTGGAGCAATTCCAGCTCTGTTCTGGAGCAAAACCACTTACACAAAGAACCAGTTGGCTCAGGAAAGAAAGGAGATCATGGACATTAGCTATTCCCTTTGGACAATGTGTGTTTTTCATTTTCAGTTTGCTTTATTCCAAGTTTTCTACGTGAATGCCTGTCTATTCTGACTTCAGTATTCCCACTGAAAACAGAGTACCTGCCCTGCTTAAATAACAAAGGCAGAAATGGTCGAGATTAGTGACCGCAAATTTAACTCATGGCATTTTCTCTCTGTTTGCAGAACCAGCAGTGTGAATCCCAGTCCCATGAGTACAACAGTGAATACATGCCAATGGCAGCAGTGAATGAAGCTAAAAAAACAAGAATCTGAGGTTGTATTAAGCCTAGTTGTACCTCTGCTTGTATCTGTTGCAAGACTTTCTCTGGGAGGGGAAGGGCTCCTTGCTGTGCCTCCCATTGATTCTAGGTGGGTGGGTGGGCGGGATTGTTACAATAGTTTGTTCATAGAATCATAGAATCACAGAATTGTCTAGGTTGGAAGGGACCTTTCAGATCATCTAGTCAACTCATCTAGTCCAACTGTCAACCTAACAATGACAAAAACCATCACTAAACTATATCTCTAAGCACTATGTCTACCCATTTTTTAAGTATCTCCAGGGATATTGGTTCAACCGCTTCCCTGGGCAGCCTATTCCAATGCTTAATAACCCTTTCAGTGTAAAATTTTTTCCTAATATCCAATCTAAACCTCCCCTGGTGTAACATGAGGCCATTTCCTCTTGACCTGTCTCTCCTGTGACTTGGGAGAAGAGACTGACCCCCACCTCACTACAACCTCCTTTCAGGTAGTTGTACAGAGTGATAAATTCTCTCCTCAGCCTCCTTTTCTCCAAACTCAACAACTCCACTTCCCTCAGCCTCTCCTCATAAGACTTGATCTCCAGACCCCTCACCAGCTTCGTTGCCCTTCTCAGGACATGCTCCAGCACAACAATGTCTTTCTTGTAGTGAGGGGCCCAAAACTGGACACAGTACTCAAGGTGGGGCTTCACCAGTGCTGAGTACAGGGGAACACTCACTTCTTAGTCCTACTCACCAGACAAGGTTAATGGAGTTTATGCTACCACGTAGCAAGGAAGAGGAAATGCAAAGCAAAACCTCTGGAAACCTTTTGAATCAAAACGGTGGGCTGATTCTTAGAAATGCAACTGCTTTGCAGCAGTGCAAAGTAATGATCTTATGCATCAGGAAGAGATGTGAAACTTTTATTCAGATTCAGATGATGAGTGGCACCCAAAATCTCTCTGGAAAAGTGATTTGCTAGATTTACTGACTGTTACAGACTATGGGGAAATAATCTGTAGAGCACTAACCGCTTAAGCCTTGCATAGTAGCTAGAAGCAGTTTTGGTTACAGAACAGAAGCAGAATTTGGACTGATCAGATATATTGGGGTTGCATTTAACTAATTCTCTATTCCTATTTCAGGTATAAGTTTCTTGCGGCATGGAAATTCTTGCAGCAGAGGTTTCCAGCTACTTGAACCTGTACAACGAGAAATCAGCATTTCCTCACCTTTCCTGGCCTCCCTAAGCTCTCATGATGGTCCTGCGCTCAGGCAGGAGACACCCACTCTAGTACTGTTTGGAGCTGTGTTTTGCTCTAGCCTTGTGTGTTAACTGGCACACCGCCTGATACACCGACCTGTGCATGAAGTGCTAACAATGTGTTAAAGATGTCAGCTTTTAGTTGAAGAAAATGTAGTGATTTAGCTTGACAGTAGATTCCCGTAGTCCTGCTACAGAGGGAACTTTTATTTTCTACAGTCTCCTTTATGATAAACTTTTCATTGGGGACAAAAAAAAAGGACTACCTCCAATGCCAATCCTTGTGGCACAACCATAAAGCACTGTTCATCTATTGCACATGCCCTTTTGTTAGGGCTAGATTAGCCTGATGTTATAAATTTCTCCTCATATTCACTGTCAAACTTCTTAGCAGCACGCTGGGAGAGTGTGGTATGTACACATGCTTTCCTGCACCAAGCTGTGGGACAGCAGAGGAACAAAACCTGAGAAAGCACAGCAGAGATTTCACTGTGACACAGTACCTCAGGTATTCACCTCTGTATTTTTCATATTTGTGCTATCAGTACATCTTTACCATTCAAACCTTGGGGCTCCTCTTATTTAATTAAATTCTGAATTCTTTTACTAACAGAGGAATATTTTATTTTCAAGACTGAAATTGTTCTTTAAATCACTTCAAACCTGCAGGATCAGTCCCTAAACTAGGATGAACTGTCCTATTCATGTCTTATAGCAGAAATACAACACAGTCCATAAGGCTGATGTATTCACTGGTTCTGCATTGCAATTATCTTCCTCTTATGGTTTGACATGAAACTTCTACTACTTCCCCAGTGGGTTCAGGGGTTACTTCACCTGCCTCAAATTGCTTAGAGCCTGCAGTATGAATGAAATGATCAATCCTTCATGCTCCTTGTGTAATACATCAAAATTCTGACTATAAATGACCAGCTGGGAATTTGTCCTGGATGTGTTGCCAGACACCATTGGGCTGCTGGAAGCAGAGTGGTGCATTGATTCTGAGTGTCTCTGTAACTCATTGAAAAAGTAAGTATCAGTCAGAGGACACTATTGTGAAGGATACATAGCCTGCTTGTCTGGCAAACAGAAGGCTGGTTTCAAATGTGATAAGGCAAACAGGGACTGTCAGGCATGAAGAGGACATAGCTGTTATGTCAAGAACAGTCTTTGCCTCAACAAACACCAAAATACAGGGAAGTATTGCAGAGAGAAGGTGCAAATTGTTAACTGTGACACTGAGCAAAGGGGAAATGAATAAGGCATCAAATGAAGCGGGGACTACCCATTTCACAGCGGGTACCCTGCTTTGATAACCAGCTCATAGGCAGAGATGTAGAGGGGCATCCTGGCACGTTGGGTAACATTACATTCTCTTCCATCGTTCTGCCATATAACCTTTGCCAAATTACTTGACCTCTCCAGCAAACAAACTCTCCTGTGTACATCCACAAATACACCAACTTTACCATTCAAAAAATATCGGTGAAATTAGTGCCTTTGAAAATTATTGTCTTTGACAATTATTGTCTTTGGAAATTATTGGTGAAAATAGCTAACCCTACTGCCTGTGAGAAATGCCGGATGCAAGATCCTAGGTAACAGTGAAGAGTCCTATCACCCAGAACCTTTCACCAGACTGAGAAGGAAATTCAAGTTTCTGAAAGAAGGAAAAACTTGAGGTTTGCTTTGAGATGCTGCTGGAGAAAGGAGAAATGATGAAAGTCTGAACAACGTAGTTCAAAATGCATACATTCTGCTCTGGAGAGATAAATGATTTATACTCATTGTAACAATGCTTTTGGAAGTCTTAGGTCCCATCACTGCTTTCTTTTTGGAAAAAGATATTGTTATTTTTAATAAAACTTTTATTTTTAATTATGCCACATGTATCCATAAGAAAGTTCATGCATGTTGTGTGCAAGAAATAAGCTCTATAAAATCCACAGTGCAATGGGGAGACAGTTTGGATCTGTTTGCTTCTTTTTATTTTCATGAGAAATTCTTTTTCATGAGAAGTCCTGTATTGTCCCATCTCTTCTTCCTTTCTTTTAATCCCTTATGCAGTATACAGACAATGATCAGGATTATTTTGGGACATTTTTTCAGTTTCTTTCAGCCATTCTTCAATACCTCCAAATCAAAGGGAGCTGGCAGATAAAGGATGGCAGAATGAGAAAAAAAAAACTGTGAAAAATGTAACATGAGCTGTGTCTATAGATTGCGTGACAAGAAAGGATTAAAAATAAAATAAAACAAAAAAGGAGCCAATAAGAATAAACAAAAACTCTGATATTCTCACGGGTCAGTATTTAAAAAAAAAAATTCACTTTGAAAATTCTCAGTTTTGGGAAAAGACCATTTTAGCAGGAATAAAATCAAGTAAGAATATTTCAGCCAACTATTCTATGAAATCCGTTTCCAAGACAAGCAGAAGCACGAGTAACATCCAAATAATGTCCAGTGAATCAGAAATTTGAGGGTAAAATAAACTACTAAGACACAGTCTCAACCTCTGTTTTCTCTGTTTGCTACATAATGGTTTAGAATTGTAATGGAAATTTTACAACTGTACAGCAGTCCATGAAGGGGCTTCTAAAATCTGTTCTTCTCTATCTTTGTCTTCTATTGTTTTATGAGGAATATGACTGAAAAAATACTTTAAGGCTAGGGCTTTTCCAGGAGCTGAATCCCTATCATCAGTATTAGAGTAAAACCAGTTTCTGTCATACAACATGCAACATAAGATTCAGTATCAGTAAAATGCTTTCATCCTTTCTGATTTATTATTGCTATAAGTCACCCCACATGTATTTAGACTCAGTAATGCCCTTTAGATCTTCCCAGTAGGGATTGAATGAAGTCAGTAAGTTAGTAAACTAAATAGGTACCTACAGCAAAGAACTACTCATAATCTCCTTGAAGGTTAAGACCTGAAATAAAAATTTACAACTTGAGCTAGCTTCATCTTGCTAAAAAGATAGTATGACCTAATGTGAGCAGGTGAAAGATGTTAAGGATGACAACTACGGATACTGCAAAATTTAAGGAAGGATAAATGACAAGGGTATCATAATTTGAACACCTGCATATCTTAAGATGGTTTGAAATCCAAATCTCAATATGTATTTCACAATCATGTCTTCCCAGCCTGAATCATGAACCCAAATCTGAATGCTCTTGGAGTTTAATGATTAGATTCAAGATTGCAATTTTGTACCTAATATATAGCACTGGGAATGAAATGACACTATGAAACGTTGTGAGCCATTTTCCCTTAGTACAGGTATTTTGTTAACTTCAAAGCTCAAGTAGTTTGAAATTCTATCATTTTTCTTACAGACTTTAACAAACTTTATTTAAGGGTTGGGAAAAGAGGCTCTTGAACTAGCATAAAGGAAACAAAATGAAATGAGGATTTGTACTGAAGATGTCGAACTTCGTTATTCATAAAGTGTTTTACAGTGTGATAAGTCCCTTATGCATGTGTATCTATAAGTTTCCATGCAGAAGAATATAGCAAGAATAATTATAGAAAAAAATACAGTTCATTGAAATTATTTAGTTAAAAAAAACACAGTTAGTGGGAACTTCTGCCCACACAAGGTTTACTGGTGAGCTGGATCTAAGTCTGCCTTTGGTTTGACTTTAATTGCAATGAGACACTCCATATACCCAAGTCCCCTGTGTTGTCCAGTCCATCATTGCTGTAGCAGTCTGCCCACTGTCATAAAAATTTCCCATTTCCTTGAGAGATGAAATTTTGAGATTTGGATTTATGCTATGATTATGAGTTCAATTCAGGGTGGGAGGTCGGTTGGAGAAGAGGGAGGAATAGGAAGGATAAAACAGCTTTTCTGGCAAAATGTACTGGACAGGTATGAACTGGAGATATGAAGATGAGGTTGGGGGGTGAAATTCATCTAAATTAGTATACCTGAGCTATGTAATTCCTTGTGGGAGTCATAAGATCTGGTACAGCTTGAGATCATTTTTTACAAAGAGATAAATCAGCTCTGATTATCAACAAGAAAGATTTAGCTGCTGCACACATCAAGCATAATAATTTTTAAAAACTGCAAACATTAACAACTTTGAAATACCAAACATCTTCCACATATTAAATCCTGCATCAGTCCTCCCTGTATAGTATAGTATAGTATAGTATAGTATACTGTTGGCCAATCCATCACCAATGATATTTCATCCTCTGTCCCAATGCATTGCAGCTTATATAGTCCGTTGCCATCTCTCAGAATTGAGGCTAGGATTTAATGTCTGGATTGTGCAAAGACTTGCAAGAGGGTATTCCCTTTCCCCTTGCTGAGGAGGAAGGCTCATTTACTGCCCTAGGGTTCTTCTGAAAATGTGTCTGAAACACTAGGAAAAGAAGAAATTTTGTTAGCAGCAGCAGGAGGGAGCATATTGCCTTCCAAAGGTGGCAGTTTAACTGAACATAATCTATGGAGTGTGAGAACTCTGCATCGGCTTTTCAAGCTCTACCGAGGCCAAATTTTGGAGAATGAAGCTCAAAACTAGGATTCTCAAACCTTTTGCTGGCAACTTTCCTTCACAAAATAGAAGGTACTTTTGTTTGTCTAATCAATCAAATCATTTTCCCTTTGTAAGAAAAAAAAAAAAAAAGACAGGATTTGCTCACTAAGGCTCTTTTGTGTCTGAAACAGGGGCTGTGGTAGTAAGCACCTGGTTGAGTGCCAGCAGAAGTGCCAGCTTTAACTAATCCTCCTATCTGTGGATCCTCCTGTTGATCAAACTGGCATGGGGCTACCACACATATCTGGGCAGGACCATAACCATGAGACAAAGGGACAACAGAGTCCCACAAGGGTCAGGCTCTGGAAACAGAGCTTAGTACTGCTGTCTTCGTGAAACCGAGATATACCTAGGTAGCTCTTGCTATCTATTACATCCTTGAAAGCCAGACCAATGCTTGCAATTCCTTCCCCTCTCTTGGCTATGTCCCTGCTTTTCACTCACAACCACACCTCCATGGACATCTACCTGTGACATGGCTCCTCTTAAGGCCTGTGCTTCAGAGGGACTTTTCCTCCCACAGCACAGGAAGGGCTCTGGGGCATCAGTAGCAGGACTTCACAGTAGCTACTCTGCAAAGAAAGGGGAAGCTCAGGGGAGATGCATGGCAAAGCCCCTGCTTGGACATACAGTGGTGATGGAACAGAAATTAAAGAGATTGCCATGGTCATGTTAGAGAGATGTGTAGGTTCCAGGAGTGTAAGGAAGATAAACAAGATCAAAGGATTTAAGATTTGGGGAGTTACAACACCTCACAACCATGACATAGCCCCCATTTGCAATAAAAGTAAGAGATTGCAAGCATTGTCTGTGAGGACAGGTAAATTCCAGAAAAATACTTGGCATCCACCAAGTTGTTTGACAAAACCTTAGCCAGGCAGTAACTTCTACAGACTACAATAGACTAAAATTAGCAAATCTCACAGCATATGGGCAGAGGAAAAAGTATCTTTGCTTCCAAAAAGCCATGGTTTTTACTCAAGGGACTGACTAAAACATGCAGCCAGTGAATAGGGATCTCTTTCAAGCACAATATATTTATTCAACAGAAGACTCCGTGGCCTGGGGCTTCATCCTTATATAAAAGTCTGATGGAGAAACTGCCCTCCCAAACACTATCCCTTACCCACTGCTTTTCCATCTGTGAAGAAGCTGATCAGCTCCTCACAGGGGCATCCTCTGCACTCTGCAACAGGCTGGCCTGGCCAAGGAGCCATAGCGAGGGAGTGCAAGACTTGCTGCATTTCCTACCTCAACATCTGTCTCATCAGCTTCAAGGTAAAGGAAACTTAATCTCCATAAGGAATCCAGCCCGGACGAACAATCCCTGTCTTTCCTGCTAAGTGTGTTGGTTATCTTTCTATTTAAAGATTAAGGAAAAAAAGTGTGCTCTTTACTGGAAAACATAGACGTACTAAAGAAGATGGCCACCCATGATGAATAGCGCCTCATGATTCAGAGTTTCCACTGAAAATTTCAGTAAAAGAAATATTCTCTTCAAGATGGTGAAAACATACGTTTTATTTGGTGAGAAAAGAAGCTTCTCTATGTTTTAAGAAAACTCCTGTCACTAAGTGCAGTTATCAATTCAAACACAAGTCTCCAAGTGACCCCAAATGTCTTCAGCACACAGACCACGTCTCTGCTTCTATAATTACAACTAGCCGAAGCGTCTTTCAGAGATCTGAACTGCGTTCCAGTAACAGTGACCCATTTCCCTTTCCATGAAAAAAACCAGTGTTTGGTTAGTAGACACCAATAAAAGCAATAGCTGTGAAGAAAAATATGCAGAGAAATGCTGCTACAGCTAAGCTAGTGGAATAAACATACGCAGTGGATTTTTTAAATGTAGACATGCAGGCAGATCGCTTTGATGGCTAACCAGAGCATCATACCACGGAATCACTTCTGAGTCATTTTTAAGCTGCACTTTCTCCGCTTTCTGTGGTGCTGGCAAATACAAAGAATGTGAGTCTAGAGCAAGAGCAACAAGGATCATTTTTCAGGCATTTAAGTGGTACTAAAGAGTCCGCAGGTGCCTGGGTCTGCACTTTGAGGTGTCCAGAGATCTTGCCCAAAGAACCTATTAGCAGAAAAGAGCAATTCTTTTGCCTGCATACGGTAGATCCCTGAAGTCACAGGATGAATGGATTTAAGGTCAGAAAGGGATTTTTTTTACGTGATTATGACACGTGCCTAGACCACGGCTTTTTCTCCAGCAAGATATTGGTGTCCTGTGTGATCTGAGATCTACCAAAGTGTTGAGAAACCGAAACACTCAGCCTTCTCCAACCCAACGTCCAGCTGTTTGGCTTGGGCAGTGGATGCCACAGCTGACTGAAGTACTGTGGTGTCATATTCCCAGGGCCTGGGGACAGTACTTCACCAGGGGATTCACAGAGGTGGAGAGGGGATGGAGCGTGCAGCCTAATGGTTGCACCTTTGCAGCGCCATCCCAAGGACTGCTAATGAACTTCAGGAGAAAAATTCAGGCATAAAGTACCAAAATAGATTTTGAATCAGAACTTCCAGAGAGTCCCTCCTCAGGCAAATGCTAGTGACTTGTGGAGTACAGAGATTTCTCTCTCCCACACTATCGCTCTCCCTCAATGAATCTTCAGCCTGTTACAGGATATTTAGACCACCCCTCCTGGGAGGGGCTGTTTGATAGCCAGAAGGATGCTCAGTAAAATACTCTGCATTGGCTAAGCCACATGCCACCGACACAATTACAAATTACCTTAATTAGGCATTTTGCAGCTGGATGCTGGCTAGTCTTTGTGCCTGCAGACGGATGGTGACCCATATCTGCCAAGAGCAAGGCGACACCTATGAGAATTCAGAATTTTGGAAGGTTTTTTAGCAACCATTTTAT